GTATATAATATTAATATTATTATATGCACCGTATATAAATAAATTGAATTCTTTTACTGTTTGTTATTTCTAATAGCCATTTATACAGGTGACATGATTTTTATCTAGATTCAGAAACCCATTTGTCTTCTAAACTTCAAAACTTCGTCTTTCTGTTGACGCAGTTCGCAGTTTTTGACAATCCCTCTTCCAGGAACGATTTATACAGGTGACATAATTTTCGTCTACGTTTAGAGATTTATTTGTGTCGCGACATGCATCGATAAACGCGAATTTATGCTGTCAATAATCGCTCGAGTAAAGCGTGGTCTTCCGTATCCACTTTCGTTAACAAAATTACTTCGACTTTCTGCAACATTATAAAAACGATCACAGACTATCCACTTAGACAGTTAATATCTAGAATTGTTATACAGTTACGCGACAAGCAGTCCCCAAGCCAGGGAGAATTAACGAAACTGTTATCCAAACATGTTCCAGACGATTCGTGCAGATCACGCATTTATTGTTAAAAATCAATAAGGATTTTATTTCACACTGCAACCAAGTACACCTATGATAGCAATTGATAGGGGTCACCCAAAAATTCCTGACAAGCCGTAAAACAGATCTGTCTTCGTAGGCAGCAATTAACCAAAGAAGTTTTAGCTAACGCGTCGCTAAAAGAAATGTTTCAAGGCGTAAGCGCGGGTCGGATAGAAATTGCGGATAGGCAAATTTTCGGGCTGGATTGGTGGGGCGCGTATGACGATGAACGGACACGTCGCGAGGGTACCAGGATCAGCGTGTTGGTACCGGGAGAGTGTAGGGGCAAGGTCGGGAACGTATCGAGGAGGGCCTGAGACCCTTCGTTTTTTAATATCGCTCTCTTCTGGCAAGGTTTTATTTAATGGCGAAGGCGGTAACCGCGCACCGACCAGCCGACCAATGAGAGCTCGGCTGGAAATCATACGCGGGATCGCCGGCCGCGCGGCGGCCTCCGAGAGTGGAGGTGAAGTTAGGTTAGGTGAGGTTATGTTCGCTCCCCACGTCTCCTTAACATTCGACGGGCCTGTCCCGGCACGGCATCGTTCTCGCAAGAGGTGGGGCTCCGTCTCTTCGATCGGCGTCAGGCATTTCTTCGTCTTCTTCTTCTTCGTCTTCTTCTTCTTCCTCCTCCTTCTCTTCCTCCACCTCCTTCCTCCCTCCTCTCTCTCTCTCTCTCTCTCTCTCTTCCTCGTCCTCGCTCTCGCTCTCGCTCTCCTCGGGCTTCTCCTTTTTTCCACGCTTTTTCTGCGCCGTTCTCCACCTCCCCTTCTTCGTCTTCTTCTTCTTTCGTCGCTCCGTCATCGCCTCCTTCGCCCTTCCAATGCTCACCACGAAGGGTACACCTTCACTATACTTAGCATTGCCTTCGTTTTAGGATGAGAACGCCACGTGAAGCATCGTGATAAGCAAACCGCTATCGCGAATACAAATGAGAGAGGCCGGGGGTGGCAACAGCGCCTATCGGGCCTTGGTATCTTTCGACATAGTATGTCAGCCTGGTATTAATAGTTTCCATCATCAATAGTCCGCTGGGAAATGCCTGGTAACCACGGGCTACCACATTCCTCGGCTTTGATGGATGGCTCCGATTTTCGTCTTGCGTTATTCCGCGTTGGCTGGTCGCACTCGATATCTCTGTTCGCTTCGTTGGAATTCTTCGGGATCGGAATACATAGTTGGCACAGTCTCGGTCGCGGAATATATTATAATTGTGGACAGTTTAGTTGCTGGTAATGATAATCGTCGGAGCAATGTGCAAATAGAACGACTGTGGACGGAGTAGTTACTGGGAGGCAAGGATAATTGTACATTAGCACAAACGGTAGGGGAAAAGTGTTATCGTTTTACCTGCGTTATTATAGCAGTAATTTTTAAGTATACGTTGAAGAGATTTAGCTAAGATAAGCTATGCTAATTGGAATCGTCATTCGATGCATTGAGTGTTGCACATTTGGCATAGCATGATTTGGATTCATTTTGACTCGTTTTGGTTTAGATTCGCAAGAGGTTTATCCGATTTCTAACTTTTTGGATGCCAGTTAGGGTTATTAAGTATTTATAATTAGCTTCGGCAAAGGGATCAACGTGGATTTTGCTACGTTGTACAATGAAGAATGTAATCATTACTTTCATGGAATCGTCAGAAATATCGAATTTGTTCAAATTCACAGTAAGTGGTTTACGCTAGGCTATCTCGTTCCCATAAAAATGAGAGCGTTACGTTTTAATAACGGAAAGATCGCAAGAAATCAAGATTACCGATGCATTAGGAAAGTGCAGGAAAATTGTTGTCAAGTCAAGTTCCACTTCATTGACCGAATAAACTACAATTGCTGTCTGTCGCTGGACGTTTGAATATCACCTTGCAGTTTTTTTGTTCCTTTGAACCGTCGAAGACCTTCGCTGTCTGGACTTCATATCTAAAAATAACTATTTTAGGGAATGTAAAAGACCGACGTATCCTCGAACACAATAAAATATGTCTATCCGCAGCGAGGTGGCAGACACTATTTGTAAGATTACACGGTAACCCGAACGATGAAGCAGCAACAGTGTGGGAGTTGCGAATGCAAGTATTACAACGTGGGGTAGTAATCTAACCCGCGCAGGTCCTTCAGCGTTAAAGATGCATTCTCATAAACAACACCACGAACAAACCGATTTAGAAGATTGCGAATTCCGAGCCGCATTTCATGTTTGCCAACGTGGCATCGATGCGTGAAAGCCGATCGAAACCCGCGATGAACCCCGAGCACATCCGAATCCGCAATTCAGCCGGCTTATCAGTTCCGATTGCCGATCGAAGAAACTGTCTCGGACAGTTCCCGTTGCAGTCCGGCTGGATTTTCAGTTCGCAGCCTCCGTAGCTGTCCTAATAATCGGGTTATCGGGCATCGATATGCCGAGAACTCTAATTACATTCTTCTGTGTTACTGCTTAACCGTGCTGCGCGCAATACCCTTCTCTTCTGTCAATACCGAACAAAGCGTTTCGCAATTCCTTTCGAGTAGAAGAAATTACGGGGTACGTTCGAAGACGTGGGAAGTGGAGGAGCTCCTTGAAGACCAAGAAACTCGTTGGGATTGTCGATGCTACGGATCCGTCGATTACAGATAATTAGCGATGCCGTACGAACGAACGAACGAACGAACGAACGAACGGATAACTCCTCGTCTATTTTATTTAAAGGGAAACGGGGAGGGGAAGAACGAGGCGCGGCCCGAATGAAATGCCCTCGGAATATCATAGATCCGATTTCTCTCTCGTGAAAACGATCCCGCGGCGGAACACGCTGATAATTGGCTCGCATTATTTCATTTTATTCGAGGAGAAGTCGTCGATCACCGGCGGGGATCTCGCTTAAATTATAAATACAAAAAACTTGTTAAACATACCGGCAGATTTCTCCGCGTGGATCGCGTGATCCTGTCGTCCGCTACGGATTAACAATCACGTGACAATGAGAACCTTGCGTGCCCCATCCCGGCGCCGATTGATCCGCAAACTATACACGGACGCGGTGCCGCTGATATCGTTAATTATTAATTGGATACAAGATCGTTAGTCGTATTAATCAACGCTGTGCCGGCCGTCGTCACGATCCCGCTGAAAGATCCGACAGATTTTACATTCGATCGTAGATTTTTCCACGATCCCGGATCCGATCCGGCTCCGTGGAGATGATTCACGAGAAAGCCACTTTATGCGGCCAGAGAGAAGTGGCGAACGCTGGAAAGGGAGGTACGCAGCCATTGATGCAGTCTCGCTCGCCTTCGTTGATTCTTGCGTGTATTGATCGATGGTGACCGTAATTTTCAGATCGCGTGCCACATCACCTGCCACCTTCCTTTCCAATGCAAACCAATGTTATCGGGACGCGGCTCGCGTTTTTCCTCAAACCTCTTTTTGCCACCCTTTTCTCTTTCGCCGCTCCTCCAGGCCCTTGTATTTTATTTTCCGGGGGAAGAGGGCGAGCGTGTTCCGCGGACGCGATATAAGAAACCGATTAGGCGGCTTGTTTGTAAGTTCACGACCAATTAATTTTATTTCTCGCCGTGTACACAGCCGACGACTTGAAAAACGACGTGCCGCTGAAAAAGAACTAAAACGGTCCACCGTGTCCACCCTCTTTACTCATTCACCCCCGAATCAAACGCTAATTCGTGTGCAAATAGAAATTAAGCATTTTACTTGTCACTTTCATTTCTGATTCGAGGGACGTCGTTATTGGCCAGCATATCTTCGCGCAAAATATTAATTGCAAGATGCAGATGCTACTGCAATTTTTGTTACTGCAAGCTAATGAACTATTTACACGGATGTGCCGGTCTGCAGATTTCCTTGCGAAGTAACAATCGTCCCTGTTAATTGCAACGTACAGAAGCTATTAATTTCTGTTCATTTGAAACGAATGATGTTCATAAAACGACGCGTATCGAGCGACGAACGTTGGACAAAATTTTAAGCGTCCTGACAGAACATTACTTTTTCTTTTTACGCGACCACGATGATAACGAGGACGGCAGCAAAAATGTCTTCAATTCTTGCGAAATCAATCGTTACGAACAATCGTATTTAATTTTTCATATCTTTTTCATACACAAGCTTTATTATTGCACTTGTTTTGATGGCCCATAAAACATTCCCACTGGAACTTCGCTTTAATTGCACGCGGTTCAGCAAATATGAATTTCTGTAATAAAAGTATAATGATTTTACAGTATTCGAAATTATGTTCGCTTCGGAATAATTTGCTTCTCGTTCATACGGCGTCTTATTACGGGAAAGAAACGGAACGATTTCGGTCGGGTCACAACGACCCGCCCGTCGGACGGGAGCGACGGCTGTAATCGGCGAGCCTCGCGCGGCGCGGAGAGACCGACGTTCGCCGATTTCGAGCGACGGCACGCTTCGTGTTCGGTTATTGGGAAAACACGGGTCCGACAGCAATCACGTTTCCGTGTTCTTTTCAGTTGCAGGTGCAGCGGCGACCCAGCCACCACGCCGCGGGGGGAGAAAAAAAAAGGGAACGAGAACCTTGAACCGATCGTAAATGGCTCGGAGTGAAAGCGGTCGAGTCTCCGCGGTTTTCCCAGAAGAGCGCGCGAGCCGCCAAATTATCGACCTGTAAATCGGAATGAAGGATCTCTGGTTTTCTTGCCCGGCGCGGCGCGGCGGATCGGCAGAAAGTCGCGCGAGCGCCCGAGATCGAGACACGGTCCAGGCTGGCGGCGTCCAGAGCGGCGAAAAAATTCATCGATAATTGTGATCTCGGAAGTCCGAGGGGGGAAAAAAAATAGGGGATGCAACCCGTTTGTTCGGGTTTTATCGATCGGTATTAAAATGCCTGGACGGCTCGGTGGGAATGCTCGGCGTACCGTTCGCTTCGACAATTTGCCAGATTATGAACGAAGATACAGGAACGATGCTTAGCGCCGCATTATCCTAACGACTTCCAGGTTACTTCGGATACGTGGACGTCGACTCGAAGATTTCCATCGGGAATATCCTTGGGCTATGCGCGAGGTGATTGATGGAACCTAGCTGGTCCCAACTGGTCCCCGTTCTAACGGAATTGTCACTCATTCTACAGATTCTTTGCGCGAAAATCGCTTAACGAGTGCGAGTTTTGGTACCGATGATGTCAATGAGGAGTGAATAAATGGTCATTCCGCGGGACACACTCCGTTGGGATTTCTTGAATGAGCCTGTAATTGATGATCCTCTTGCGGATAATGTTAGGTTGTTGTGTACGGTATGATGTGCAAGTTGCGCATAGTATGGGACTTTGATGGACGGCTCGAGATAGCTGTATTGCCTTGCGAATTTTATTTGCTTTTCCAAACAGGACTCTGTAGAAAGAGTGGCGCTGGCATGTGGCTACTGTAGTTGTGCCGTCTTTGGTTATTATTGAACCCCCATCCGTACCTCGCGTCAAGTTGACACAGTTTTCACGGGGATATTCAAGGAATAACAGTAATTTCTCCCTAATTCGTGGCGAGATTGCGCACAAAGATGGACAATTTGGGAAAAGGAAATACAATTATTCGAGCCTTGCGGCTTGTTTTTATATTTTAACCGTATCTCCTGTTCCCAAATTGTTCATTTTTGTGCGCGATCAACGTTAAAACTTGCCCATTTTATCTTAGGTTTTCGTCCTTAAACGAAGAATTTTCGAAACGAATTATTTATTCTTCCATCCTATTCGATAGTTTACCATTGTGTCAATTTTATTGTGTCGAAGAACACGGTTAGAAATAAGGAACGGACGAGAGTTAAACGAATGATGCGCTTTTCAAATGTCTCCCTAGATTTCCAGACAATTGAACAAGAATTTCGTTTCAACACGATCTTATCTTGAAAATTAAAATTGCTTTCTTTTTGCTGTAAGATATACTGTTTCAATCTGCAACTTCGAGGACGTTGTCATCCCTTGGTCCATATTGTCATAATTTAAGCATCGACACAGGAAACGTTTCCATAGACGTATATCAAGCAAGTCCAATCAAATAAAAATGAAGGGAGTCATTATTAAATAATTGTTCGTACGAGAAATGATTTTAAGAGTCTCTTAAGAGTCCCCCGAACGACCGGGTTCGTAAAACGCCGAAGGTCGCCGACAAGCTCGCAAGAATAAATTCTGAAAATAAATGTTTCTGCAATTATCGCGACGCCTCGCGTATCCAAAATGGATGGGTCCGCGGGAAGGGGAAAGCCGAAGGTAAACGGCGTCAAATCGTCGCATGCCCGACGAAAAGACGATCGAGTCTGGGAGAGGACAGAAATATCGCTGGAAACCAGGACGAAGTAGTAGAAAAGAGGGGACGAGGACGACAGGGCGAAACAGTGTCGGGCGAGAGGAGGGGGTTGCAAAGGGGGGTGCCAAGGGAGAGGGCACCAGCGATCGTAGAAACCGGCGCAATGCCACAAGAAACTGACTAACTGGTAATTAGCATATTTCCAGAATATTTCGGCAGCACGCGATGTTCCGGTAACTCGCTCCGAAAATGCTCCCCATCGTTCGGATTCCAGCGAAATAGGCCTCGGCGAATGCACATTATAACGACGTCACACGATTCTATTTCTGATGATCGAGATTATATTCTCCGGATTCGATTGTCCTTCGATGCCAAGCGAATTTCTTTTCCTGTTTAATTGAAGAAATCTCATTTCCGTTTGTTACCAAATGTCGCTTGCCTGTGTGACAAGCACAATTGTGCACACTGTGTGAAGATAACGAGAAAGAAGACAATTTTGATCTGTACTGTGATAATTGTTTTATGTTTTATAAAAGGATACACGTTGCATTTATTAATAATAATACCGACGGAGCCGGTCGAACGATCGCTTCCACATTTTTTTAATTTAAAGATGTTGAAATTATAAAGATTCTTTCATAAGGAGTGATTGACTCAATATCTTCTAATGCGACATTATAATAAAATATATTACTTTATTTTTATATCACTGTCTACGTATGTACATGTAACTACATTACGATAAATATGTTGAAAAATCTAAATAGATTCAGTCTTGTTGTTGTTATGGAACAACAAACGTCAGTTACTTTTAGTATTAAAATAAGATAATTGAAACGGATGCTGTTGAAATAAACGCTGGCGGCAAACTTGAAAAGACACATCGACTTTTCAGCAATTTTTCTAAAGAGACAATTGAAACCAATTTACCTGAAACTTTGAGAACGTTTTTACCATACTCTGGCTATACTGCACAAATTTATTTAAAAATGCTATGATATGATCAATTCCAATTCATCTCATTTAAAAAATTCCAATTAAGTTTTAGCTTATACACGTGCATTCTAAAGAGACGAATGAAATTAATTGATCTAAACCATGATAAATATTTTCATCATAATTCTGGTACAATATTAAAATTTATCCAGCTGCATTAAAAATACAGTTTGCACAATGCGCGATCTACGAGACTGCACAATCGATTCCAATTCGTCTCACCTCGAAAATTTCCCATAAGTATTATTTAATAAACACAGTTCTCAAAAGCATATTCCACGAAGTGGAATCCACTTTCCAAAGAAGTTCTCGGCGACAATATTTCCGTCCACAAGAATTCGACAGCACATCTTCGAAAAACGAAAAATCGTGCCACTTTTTCAACGTTCACAGACCGGAGCCATTTTCAATTCCGATTAGATTCCCAGTTTCCCAAGGAAGGTGGACATTGCCTGGGTGTCTTCCTCGATCCTCCTCCATCCTCGCCGTCAATTTCCCCCGCCCCTTCTTATCGCGGCAATCGATCTTGCGAAACCAGTCAAGGTCGATATTCTAACCGGTCATTCGCGGAATAATCATTCTTTCACCGACGGTGGCCGATTATCCGTGTCGGTAATTGAGCTTAATTGGGCATCGATCTATACGATCTACGGGGGCCTGCGACGACGATCCCCGGTTGTCGTAGGCGAACGGACGCGATGCACATGCGTCCACCGTATGCACACATAGAGGCTGTGTGCATACACGCGTGCACTCCGTCGTACGCGACGAACGGACGACGGAACAACGGCCGACAGAGAAAGACCGATCGTTTGTACGCGCGGCGCGATTATTACATCGCTAATGACACGATGACTCAATTAGAAGGCAACGTACAATCGGAATTCAGGCGCCTCTCCCGTCGTTCCGTCTCTCTCTCTTGACGCCCATTCACGGTCCACGCGGCCCGACGAGGTCCGCACGATATCATTTCGTATTTGGCATATCCTGACCGAACGCGGGCCGAACGTGGGCCGAACAGCGCGGAGGAGACCTGTCACGAGTCCGCCGAGCGCAGATCGTATCTGACATTATTGTCCCCCGCTATTAGGATGATTAACGGTACTCCTGGGTAATCGAGCCACGGGTATTGTCCCGTCGTGTGTCACCGTTGAATCCCGGCCTGGTTCCTCAGCCGCGACTCCAACCTCGAATCCTTTCTAATAGCCTCGGACCAGGTTTTCCTGCGTCTTCATTTATTCTCGACGCTGTAGCTTCGTTTCAACCGTGATGCAACCGGAAATGCATCTTCTGGAATTTCGTCCCTAAGCGTTTCTATATTTTCGGCCAGAAAAGGTCATGCAATTTATTGTGTTCGATTCTGATTGGTAGAAACGGTACGGCATCATGAACGACGCTGAGCAGAATCATTGGAAGAGATTATGTATCGTTTTTAAAAACGTACACTCTTTACAACGGCAGAGTTAGGCTGTAGAATTATGTCACATTATAAAGCTCGTAGAGTGCGAGATTGAATGAACAAAATTACAGAATAAGTTAAATGCAGAATTGGTGTAACTCAGTTTGAGTTGGTAAATGTTTTTCTTTTTTATGTTTGACAAAAATGGGCCACTATGTTGGAGAACACTGAGCAATATTGTTATAAGAGAAATCGCGTTAAAAAAGACGTCTTAATAAAATAGCAAAGTTACGCATCTGAAGAACATCGCATTATAAAAGTTGTAATATGTGAGATTTCAATTAAACAAAAATGGTGTAACACAGTTTGAAATGGTAATAATCTCTGTTCTTTATGTACACAAAAAATGAGAAATCACATCATGATGTTCTTTGAAAACCAGCTAAAATGCAGCTAAATTAAGTTTCAGAAAAGATATCATGTTATAAAAGTCGCCAAGTCCGAGATTTAGATTAAACAAAATAATAGAGTAACATAGTTCGAATTGGCAATAGTGTTCCACCATTAGGTTTCTTAAAAATTCCGAACCATGTTGAAAGATACTTAAACGATTGGAATTAGTGCTATTTATATATCACTAATGATGAAATTGTACCATCATATATGCGCCAGAAAAATGTATTAATTAAAAATATCTAACGATTGATGTTTCTCGCAGCCAAGCTATTCTACTCGCGTATCGTACGAATGAAAGCAAAATCAGTAGTTTAAATAACCAAATAAATCTTATCTGAATTGTATCGAAGATTTCATTGGATTGCGTTTCACTCGATCAAACGAGCCACGAACGCGCAAACAGGCCGCGCGCACGTGTAATAGCAAATTCGCAAAAAGGCCTAACGATTTATTATTATTTATATCCTGTTACGAATTACTTTCACGTTCTTTTTTGGCCGCATTTTATTCTCATCTCGTATACTCCTCGTTTCTTTTCCCTGTCCGAACAATATTGCCTACTAATGAATTGTTTTTACCGATGCCAGATCGTTATTTGATCCTCATCGTCGTCGTCTTACGAAGGCGCCGCCAGATCATTAGCCGTCTTCCGGTTCCGCAGCGGGCCGACATAAGCAGGAGAAAACACCATAAACCATATTAAGCAGACCCATAAAACGCGCCCTTATACGCGGCTACGGGAGCGGCTTGATTTCAAATCCCGGGAAGGATCCCCTATCAGGCTCCTTTTACCATGGACGCGACCGGCGTGTGTCGTATATATTTATTGAGACAATAAACCGCAATTATGGCCGCCGTATAAACGACTAACTAACCACGTGGCGGCCGATGATCGCGATATTTTTCGACCGGTCTTCGTTCACGGTCTCTCTCTCTCTCTTCCACCGCATGACGCTTTCTGGCCAGCAGTCGCTGACGCCTCCAGTGTAAATCATTTCCAGATTGGTGGAAGAATTTTTTTTCCACCGTGCACTATCGTCGTAAACGTGCCGCGCGATGTGCGAAACGCC